AATGTTTGGCAATGGAGTTGGTGGGAAGGGCTATGTAACTCTTCTCGGCAGTGTCTTCTCTGGGTGTGTTGAAGATGTTTAAATGCTCGCCCGTCTGCAGAGAAGAGATACAAGTCCTTCCCACCAACTCCATTGCCAAACATGTTTCCAACATCTTTTCCAAAACATCATTCCAAGTATCTACCTCCACAACCACGACCATCAAGGACATCACCAGTAGTAGGCAGGACAAGCCTCCATCCTCTGCAGGGGTATACATAATCCCTTGTAATGACTGCAACAAGTTATACGTGGGCGAAACATCAAGGGACCTCCAAACACGTATTTCAGAACACCAATACGCAAGCGGGTCTGACGACACAAGGAATGCCTGCGTACAACACCGTAATTCACACAACCACTTGATAAACTACAGAAACTCAAGACTTATCGCCACAGAAGACAACACTCAATACCGAAGAATCCTGGAATCATCACTTATTTCTATATCCGACAACTTCAACCAGAATAGTGGCTTCTTAAACATAGCTGAACCACTTGCCAAGAAACTTCTTCATCGCTATCCCACATAAGAACACTGTAGAAGGTCTGCTCACAAACTTGTCCAGTCTCCTTTCCAAGCTACCCAAGTTTTTAGACTCTACAACCCAACTCGGTACATCATCAGATGCAGCATTCTTCACCTGACCTCAGCCGGACTATAAATACTCGCGTTCCTTCCACCCCAGGTAGTTCTGTTTGTGACTTGAAAAAGCCCACTGTGTGGGCGAAACGTAGTCAATAAAGGATCACATTATACTGCATTTGTGTTTATATTGCCATTGTGTCGGTATTTTATACCATTTATTTCCAGCACCCTGGCCCAATACCTCTCCTTTTCACACCTAATGGCACTCTTTCCTGACCCGGTGCCTTCCCTTTTCTGGCCCGATGGCACTTTTTCCAGGTCCACCATTACCAGACAGTTAAAAAAAAAAAATTCTCCGTCTCTGGGAGATTACCACTCTCTGAAAGTCCCAAATACCCCTCCGGGTGTGCTGCATAAAGGAGAGTAACCAAAACAAAACTGACACCTCAGAAAGCAGTGAGGGCTCACGAATGTTGCTGAATTAAAGTGAATGTGACGACTTGCTCAGTCTGCCCACAGGATTCTGCTGGCGAACGCCACAGGGATTCTGCTGGCGAACCCCACAGGGATTCTGCTGGCGAACGCCACAGGGATTCTGCTGGCGAACGCCACAGGGATTCTGCTGGCGAACCCCACAGGGATTCTGCTGGCGAACCCCACAGGGATTCTGCTGGCGAACCCCACAGGGATTCTGCTGGCGAACCCCACAGGGATTCTGCTGGCGAACGCCACAGGGATTCTGCTGGCGAACGCCACAGGGATTCTGCTGGTGAACCCCACAGGGATTCTGCTGGCGAACGCCACAGGGATTCTGCTGGTGAACCCCACAGGGATTCTGCTGGCGAACGCCACAGGGATTCTGCTGGTGAACCCCACAGGGATTCTGCTGGCGAACGCCAACAGGGATTCTGCTGGTGAACCCCACAGGGATTCTGCTGGCGAACGCCACAGGGATTCTGCTGGTGAACCCCACAGGGATTCTGCTGGCGAACGCCACAGGGATTCTGCTGGTGAACCCACAGGGATTCTGCTGGCGAACCCACAGGGATTCTGCTGGTGAACCCCACAGGGATTCTGCTGGTGAACCCCACAGGGATTCTGCTGGTGAACCCCACAGGGATTCTGCTGGCGAACGCCACAGGGATTCTGCTGGCGAACCCCACAGGGATTTTGCTGGTAGCAGGTTGATATCTGCTGGTAGTAGGTTGATACCTGCTGGTAGCAGGTTGATTATCTGACCCAATCAGAGAGAGAGAGAGAGAGAGAGAGAGGAGAGAGAGAGGAGAGAGAGAGAGAGAGAGAGGTTTGCTCACTCAGCTTTAAACTCAATATCATGATCACTTGTCACTGCTGCCTCTCTCACCATCATGGTCACCTTCACTATCATGGTCATCCTCACTTTCATGGTCACCTTCACTATCATGTCACCTTCACAATCATATTCACCCTCACTATCACAGTCACTTTCACTTTCATGGTCATCTTCACTATCATGGTCACCTTCACTATCATATTCACCCTCACTTTCATGATTCATGATCATGGTCACCTTCACTATCATATTCACCCTCACTATCATGGTCACTTTTACTATCATGGTCACCCTCACTTTCATGGTCACCTTCACTTCCATGGTCATCTTCACTATCATAGTCACCCTCACTATCATGGCCACTTTCACTACACTTTCTACATGGCCACCTTATACGTACTTCCAATTTAACCTGAGGGGGAGAGAGAAATGCTCTTTAAGCTATGTATAACCACTAGTACTCTGTACTAGCATGTACAATGTACAGACATCAATGATAGCAAGCAGACCTCATCAATTTCTTGATGGAAAAAGTGGACTTCCTTCTTCTTCACCATAAATGTCAACAGTTTATAATTGTTGGTGACCTCAACCAACATCTTATACAGAGGAATTTTGATGAGCTCCTTACAGTGTTTGACACGAGAAACTGTTGACTTCTCTACTCTCATC